CCCCCCGCCCTGGTTGTACCTTACATACAACGTCTCCAGAACACCCATCGTCCCCGCCTTTGGCACGGCTCCGCGCGCAGAGCTCACGGCTCGATAAACGTGCACTGTGCGCACATCACGCGCGCGCATACTAGAAATTCAAACCATATCTCTTTTACTGCGGGACATAATCGACTTGTCGGGAGCCGGTGATGTTTGTTGAACCAGAACGCTCCGTTGCTCACGTCGCGTCGGCTCGGCAGTTATTTGCTGCATATGTGTGTGTGTGCCTTGCCTCTGTACGTCGATCTGTGTGTGTGTGTGTGTGTGGCGTGAGGCACAGCATACATAAACCTTGTCTCGGTTTCCAGAGTTGATAATGAATCAGGAGTATGTGATTGGAAGCTTTTTGCGCCGCTTTAAACCCTTTTCTGGTGTGTGTCGAGCCCGCGGCTGCGAGCGCCCTATCGGCTTTAGCCGAACACACGTGGATGCTGCTGACAATCTCCCCAGATTAGACAACACTCTGGGGGCGTGTCGCGCCCCGCCCGCACGGCCCCCGCACCCGCCGCGTCCAGTCCAGCCCGGTCCAGCTGATCCAGAAGGACCCGCCATCAGAGCTCACAAGCTAGGGACTTGTTCTAGTTCCGGTCACGATCTCGGTTGCGATCCCCTCAGATTTATTTTTCAGATGAACACTAACATTTTGGGGTACATTATCCGATATCGGTTCCCGGCTGGAAGTCAAAAGTCGAAAAAGTTGCGAGCTCTCTAATGACCCTCCAGCGTGGTGCTCTTCGATCCCCGACCTTCTGATGGCTGAACCAAGGAGGTAAACCGGAGATCGGGTTGCGGGGTTGCTGAGCTGATGCTTATCACGTTCCCTGCGGCATGACCACAATGTGGTCAACTTCCCATATGTTAAATCATAGGCACCAAAAATCCGCCGCAGGGAACGTGTTAAGGGTGGGGTGGGGGTGGGTGTGGTGCAAAGTAGCGGATTTTTCTCGAAAAGGGATAAGTTCTTATTAATGCGACTTCATCCTATCCTTCACGATCTGACGAACTGCTTACTCTGTAGTACAGGCAGTGGTAGGATTCATATTATGACTTCTCTATGTTTTCTATGGACAAGAAATATTTGCCAAAATGCTTTGCGGTGCAATTTTGTCGTTCCTTTAAGCTGATTAATGCCTTCTACCAGCCAGCTGTTATACTCCTCCTCGGCGTTGTCGCGCTGTCTGTCAAATATCCCGCCACCATTACTCCGTTGGCGCCATAAAGGCTGCAACGTTACACAAATGACATTTCACAGAATAATTTCGGGGAGAAAACACTATATTTCTGCTTCGCACAATACGGTTTTAATTGCATTATAACATTGTGGAGTTATTTACTTACTTATCAACGACATTCTCTTGAAATGTATTCTTTTCGACAACAGACATTATTTTATAGGTTGGCAGCATTTTCCTGTTTACATCTTGTTTTTGTTTGCAGCTGTTCTGTGTTGTTGATGTTTGATGTTTTTCTGTGACAAAGCCCATTCCGGCGAATTCATATGAAATGGCTCGTAAGTGAAAAATTAGTTTATTTATTCTTTCTCCAGGTTTGTCGCGAAATGTTTTCTCTGTGAGCACCTAGCCATTTGGTAGTTTTAAGTCTGGCTGGTACTCTTGGCTTTTGAACTGTACTTTCATTTCTGCCCCAAAACATTAGTTATTTACTTCATTTTATCTCTTTTGCTCATATCCACTTTTTAAACAACTATCGAATACGTTCAAATATTTCATTAATTGCATTAGTTGTACTCTGTATGACATTGTCAAGAGGAGTTTATGGTAGTTCGAGTTGATGCTTAACCTAATACAGCTCCATGTGTGAGGTTAAGTTTTCTTCTAGTGTAATAGAACTAAAAATTCTATCGACATATTACTGTCAGATTCTATATGAACCTTTTTGTTTTCAGGGACACGAATTGAACCTTGGCAAGGAGAAGATTCAGTGTGGAAAGATTCATCTCTATCCACCATCATTCCTTTAAAAAGAAACTCGCCCAACAAAGCTCTGTATCCAACTCATACTGTTCTTAAGACAAACCATCTCTCCAACTCAAATGGAGTATCCACCTCTCTTACATCTTCTCAGAAATATCTCTCTGACATTTCTCTCCATGGTGTTCCTTCATCTAAATTTGCTGATTCATATCCGAGCCATGTCACATCACATCATAAATCCAAATCGAAGTTGCATGTAGCACGGAAACGCTCATCCAAATCTAGCCATCACCATCATAAAAGTATTGACAATGTTGAATTTGAATCTGCTGCGGTCAAAGTGCTCTCAGCCCTTCAGCTGTCTACTAATAGACAGACTAGCACGAGGAACTTACTGGAACTCCCAGATGGTGATACACGTAAAAACATGGTATGTTTTAATTCTGGCTATTCTTTTCCTTTAATTTTACTTTAACTTTAATTAATTATCACATCTTTATTACAAATGTTAACAATTTCTGAACTATTTTCTTGTAGATTCCAAAAGTGGTGCTCCGGGACATTGGCTATGTCCTGCGAAAGGCGTGCCCAAACTTAAATGTTTCACCAACAAATGATTCAGATAAATTTGTAAGTGTTTAATTTTGTTGAAGTTTATATGAAGTCTCATAGAAAAGGCTAGAGTACTGACACAAAAATTACTTGAAGCCTACATGGCACCACTCTACAGTGTTGCCAGATGTCTTCTGCTTGGTTTTTGTGTTAGGTTAGCTGAAGTGTTTCATGGCCCATTCTTGTGTTGTTAAACCAATTTCATATTACATTACAGAAACTATGTTTAATTTTGAAATTACAATAGTATTCCTTAAACTTATTATATTAGCAGTTACTAGATCTCAGTTTCATTTAGAAATTCAAGGTCTTGTCTTATGCGTAATATTCCATGAGGCTGGAATTAGAGTTATTTTAACCAAAACTAGTTCCACTGATTAGTTGTAGATGTTTCTAAAATTAGTTTGGCAAAAGACATTATTCAAATGAAAAGTTCAATCTTAATGAAGCAATCCAGTCAAATTCTCGTAAAGCTGAAATGCAGACGAATCCAGGGAACATGGAAAAGGAAGTCACCGTGTTCAAGCACATTTTCTTGTTCCCCACATTCCTCTTCTTTTCAGCTTTACCTGGACTGCTTCATTGTGGCTAGTAGCAACATGGTCACATGAGGGAAAATTGTTTCTTCTCATGTTCTCTCACTTGTGCATTGCCTGAAGTGATATAGTATCTTAAGATTCAACTTTTTGTTTCCAGGCCCAGTCTTCTGACTCTCCTCCATCACCTTCACCTGCATCAGTATTTCTTGCTGACAGTGAGTCAGAAAAAAGAGAGTCGATTGCTTACGATTCAAGTAAAACTACTTTAGTTGATCTTGATAAGGATCCTGAATCGACCGTATCTGAAACGCCTCTGCCTGCAATGTCCCCTACAAAAATATTCCAAAGCATAAACTCTGCCCTTGCTGTGAGCCCAAGAAAAAATTATGAGACATTAGAGAAATCAGCCTTGAATCTCCCTTCATTTGATGTCTTGGGTGCTATGGCACCTACATTTACTAATACAGGTGCCCCCCATTCCTTCTCTTCTAATGCATCTCAGTCCATCAAACCACTCCCATTTGTCCCATCATTTCCCATTTCAAAAACAACCAGATCTGTGTGTGCAAGTCCTCCTTTAACTGATTCTCCTTTAGATGAACGCATAGATCCTCCCAAAGAGTCCTCCCCTAAGACAGAACCGTTAGGCTCAATAAAGCCACCGGCAAACAAATCCACATGCCACATCAAATTTGGATTTTTAGGTTTTCCACAAGAAGATGGAAGGAAGTACGTGTCTTGATTGCAAATCCATAAATTTACCTACAATTTGTCTGAAACTTGTAACATTTAACAAAACTGTAACATTTCATTCCAGATTACGGAAAACACGCTTTCATGTTAACACCAACATTTTAGCATCCTCTCTTGATCTTCTGGACCTTCACAAAAATATAGAAGTTTCAACAGGTACTTCTTAACTATGTATTTCTTGTTTCTAACCACCATGATTTACTGTAACGTCAATATGCTCTTGTTGCAGGAAGTCCTTATAGTTGCTCGTTCTGCGATATAGTTTTCTCAAGTGTGAAACATTGCAAATACCACCAAAGTGTTATATCTTCCGAAGTGACTGATGTCACAGATGTTCAAGAAGGTATTGAAGAGGGCTTTTATGTCTTTATTTTTATTCTATCCCTCAAACATACATAGATTTTGCTAATTTGAAAAATCACTTTATTTGTTGTAGATGGATTTTGGCTATGTCCGTGGTGTCCTATCATTGCACTGTCCTCCGAGTTCTTTAGCAGCCACAAAGAAGTTTGCCGTGAGAAAGGCCGCTGTCATCAGGAGCTGAAACCCTCTTCTGTTAGGAAAAATGCGTCAGCTTCCTCCAGGCGCCGCAGCAAACCCCCTCCAAACACAAACAATACAGTAGCATCTCCTGTCAAAACCAATAGCTTTAAAGTTTTTCATGGTCAAATAATCCCCGTTAATTTATCTTAGATTTTGTCTCATCTGTTTCATATTCATATTTAGTTTGACTTATGGCTGTTGGATATTTTAGCTTTTATTGTAATGAATTGGTGAGGTCAGCATAACACTATTAAGTTTTACAGAGCACACCTATGTGTAGACTCTCACCTAGTCACTATTATTACTATTAATTTTTTTTAACTAGTTGGAGATCTGATACTCTTGTCTTGAGACCCATTCAAGTGCAGTACCAGCTGCTTTTACCTAATTTGATTTGATCATTGGTCAATGTATTGACATGTATTTCCATTTTCATAAAATATCAACATCACTCTTGTTTATCTCATCCTCTTTTAATTCCAACCTTGGTAAAGGTTAAGGTTTACATCCCGTCGCCTGTCATACAAGATTTGTTTTGCAAACTGTTTTGCAGGTGGTTGTAAAGTCATTGTTTTATAATTCTGTTTGTTTTGTTGAAGTCCTGATACATGTGTTTCTGTGAGAGGTGAACAAAAAATGAGAGAAGATAATTCTTTTGATTGTTCTTTATCTTTGGAATGATAAAAAATTGTTTCTTGACAATTTCTTCATTTATAATCAAAAATAAATAATATGACTAAGGACTACAGGACTAATAACATTTTTCAGGTAACATAAAGGGTTTCAGCTCAAAATGTTAAAATTAAATACGATATAAGTATCATAGTATTCTGTAAAAAATCAGTAACATAACATACAAAAACAATTTCAATGTTGAGCATTATAGGTGGTAACCTCTTCATTGATTTGGAAAAATCAGGAACTGAGCAACTTGAAAGCAGTATCAGCTTGTTTATGCTCATAAACTGTATAATCTGCTACCCCAGCATCAATTAATTAGTCAAGTTTTTTTTAAAAAAATTCCTAAATCACTGTTATATTGCTTTTAGTTTAGTTAGTTAGATCATTTATATTTTATAACTTGTACACTTGAAGTTGTTGCAGAAAGACTGTTTTTAAAGCAATTTAAGGTCAGCTTATAAGAACCCTGAACTACTTATAAATTAAAACAATGTCAATCCTATAAAATATCTAAATTTCATTGT